TTTTCTTTCTCTCTTTTCTCCTTAGTGGGTCTTATAAGAACCCGCACCGTTAATTAAAGAAATTAATTAATTAAATATGCAAAATTAGGAAATAATTTCATAATTGACCCTAATAATTATTATGAAGCTTAAATAATTATACAAAGTGGTTAAGAATGCTGAAAGTCACTTTTTGGAAGAAAAGTGCAGATATTGGTTCCGCTAGTCGGTATAAATGCGTACCGAAAAAGTATCCCAGAAAATTATAATAAGTGCATGATAATTCCTAGAATAATATATAGGAGTTGTAAAACGAGTTTCAACTTAAAATAATGAGAACTGGTGCCATAAACTGATACTGGCTATGAAAAGCGCGTACCGAAAAGGTGCTCCGAAAAATAAAATAAAAATATGATAATTCTTGTAAAATTGAGTAGGTTAAGAATCCAAAGTTTGGGATTAAGATTCTAAGTGTAGCAATTAAAGTTAATACTATGTGTTTAAATGTTAAACCACCTATATATATGTTAGTTGGGCACTAAACCCTAGGCCATACAACTTTCCCTACGTGACTTGAGAGTGGCTGACCATCCTTGTGCCTTGTTTCCTTGTCTCTTCACCATTGTGAGGGTTTGTGACCTTTTCTTCCATTTCTTCTTCTCTTTGGTGGAGTAAACACTTGGGTGTGTGCTTAAGAGTGTGTTTGGCACCTTGTTTCTGAGTGTTGGTGGTTGTGTTGTGCTTGTGAGGGGGCTGAGTTGGTGGGTTGTATTGTTGGAGCCTTGGTATTGGTGGTCGAAGCTCCAAGTGTCCACCTTTGTGAAGAAAAAACCAATTCTTGAGCACCATTTTCGTGTACAGTGGAAGTCAGAACCTTGGGAGTGTCAAGTGAGCTCCAAGAGCCTTTTTGTTCTGAGTTTGGAGCTTGGGTAGTTTCCTAACCTTGATCTTGAGTTTTAATGGTTTAAAGGTGGTGTCTTTGCATGTAATTGGGTTAAACAAGTAACCAACTGGTATGTGGACTTAAAACAGATTAAATATGCATGCTTTGACGTTTTAAAGTGTTAAAAATGGAACCTTGGAAGTGATACTTCGCGAAATGCACAAACTGCATTCTGTCGCGAAATATCCGGATATGATATCCAGATATTGATATCCGGATATGGGGATCTGGATATCCGGATATTGATATTCGGATATGCCCCCGATGAATATCCGGATATTCTGGGATTTCAAAGAACAGTAGCTGCACTGTTCATACAGTAGGCTATTGGGGGTTTGTGGACCCTAGAGTGATGAAGTTGAACTTCTGTTTTAATTGAACTAAGCCAGAATCAAGTGGTTAAGGGCTTATGGCTTTGTGTGAAGCCTTAAGACATAAATCGTAAGAGGAAAACATAGTCTTTATGTTTATGCTTTTGAGCTTTGTTGTTGATATGCTTGCTGGTCCTAATCAGATTGTGATCTGCTGTGTGTTCGACTTGAGCTGTGTGGACTCTTGGCATTGGATAGTGAGCTTGCAAGGTAAGCTTTCGTGTCCTCGGTTTAGCCATGTTGTGGTTCCACCATGTCCCATGGGGGTATGGTTATATGCATGCTGTGTTACATGTTTTTGATATTTTGGAAATGTTGTTGAGCTGTTATATGCTAGTGCCTTTTTTTTTGTAATAAATGCTAGTGCCTTTATGATATGCATGTGGTGTTCCACCTATACGGTAAGCCTGAGTATGTGGTACATACAAGATGGTGAGGCTGTGGGTGAGGTGCAAGCGGTGTTCCTTGTACTACGTGTGGGTAATAGACGTATTCCTGCATTTCTCTGGCCAGTAGAATAGTGTTGACACACATGACATGAATATCTGTTACACTACATTGAGTTTTGGAACTTATACTGAGTTACTGCTTTTAGAACTTATATTGCACATGTAAGTGAGCTTGGGGTGGAAGATCCTTGAGAGATTTCTGGTATAGAGATCTCACCCTACGTTTGGGGAATGCTTATTTCAAGTTCAGGTAATGCGGGGGTTGAGACCTCTAGTGGCAGGAGGCCAGATCTTAGCTGATAGATGTTACATGTTTATGCTGCTTATGATGATATGCTGCTATGATTGGATGTTGGATCCCATTTACTGTCTTATGCTTTTAGCTTCAGTTTATGGATTTATATGTTGAGACTTTGTTGGTTATGCTGTTGATTTGGTGAGCATGGGGATTGTCTATGCCACGTAGACTTGTTTATTGTCTTGTTTAATTTGGAGTTGTATTAATGTATCAGGATATTGTCTGGACTATGTGTAGTAGATCCGTGACATAAATACTCACTTTATCTATATTATGAGGTATTTCAGTTAGATATCTTTTTGCAATTTACATACAGGCGATATTTTATGAAATTGATTAAGTAATCAACTTGGCTAAGTATAATGACGTCATAATTGAAAAGAAAAAGATATTCCGCATTTTTAATTAAGCGCAGCTTAATACGATGATATGTTAACAAACCGGGTATACACGGGGTGTTACAGTTCTCACCCATTTTTTGTATACAACATAAGAAACATATTTCCCTATATATATTTATACACACACACACACACACACACACACACACACACACACACACACACACACACACACACACACACACACACACACACACACACACACACACACACACACACACACACACACACTCTTTGACCATTATGCCCCTTATTATATTAAAAAATACCACCATGCCCCCCATTTTTAAACTATTTAAAAAATTTAACATTTTCTCTATACATAACACCGATTTGCTCATGTTTGACTGTTGACTAGACCTAATACTCGAGTATATAACCCATATACTTGAGTAAATTTCTTGGGATGAAGCAGACGAGATGTGTCGTTTGTTTATACTCGAGTATGTGACCCGGATATTCGAGTATGTCGCAAGATAATCTAGTACTGAGGTCTTGTACTTGAGTAACTCACGGCTAAAAGCCATTATCCTAAAACTATACATCAATCTGTCTTTATTTGACCGTTGACTGAATCAAGTAATCAATTATAAGAGCCACTTAATCGATTAAGTGTCAGGATAATAAGATAATCATTATTATTCTTATTTAATCGATTAACTTTGCCCATGTCAAACCGATTGCCTGTTAAGTTACTTCTGGGGTGTAATCAATTGACTTATGATCCTTCGAACATTTTTCAACGTGTAGATCTTGAAAAGTTACATGGAATCAAAAAACATTATCTGATTTGGATGCCCGAGACAAAAACTATGGCCTTTTGGAGTTTTACATTAAAATTTTGAATACGTTGGTTCCCTTCTAGCAAGGGCGAACCTACATGGGGGACAGGGGCGGCCCCCGCCCCCTCTAGAATCTGGGTGGGGTAGGAATTATTGTAGTTATGTTAATGTTTTTCACGATTTATGGAGAGGGGAAGTTTGAATTGAAATATGGTTATCCCTACTATGCATTTATTCTTAATTTTAGTCAAACATTAGCCCTATATGCCTTGTATAGTTTTATTCTATCATTAAAGATAAGTTGAAACCAATCTAAAACCATTGGCAATTTTCTAACTTTTAAGTCAATTGTCTTCTTGACGTGGTAGTAAAGTGTGGCTGTTGCATTTCTTTTTTATGTGGGAGAACTTAGGGGCTTGTTGGCTCAAGAGTCGAAAACACGTATACAAGACTATATCATTTGTGTAGAGGTAAGCCATTTGAGGTTGTTTTAATTTTGATTGTCTTGTCTAATACTGCAAGTTTGCCTTATTAAAATACTTAGATTTTAAGGTGTACTAATATATATTCTATCATTTGCAACTACGTGATTCGAATGAGTTAAAACTTTATTTATTATCATATGGTGATTTACGTATGAAAGCTGCAGGTTCTTGTCACAAATATCGATATACGAGATTGTGGGTATTTTTCAGCCTTTATGGATATATCAGGTTAATTGTTGTATATTTGTATCACATATGAATGCATATAAACATACGATTATTATTTACTCATGTTTTTCTGCTAAAAGTGTGATATGATATAAACATAAGTTGTTTTTTCCAGAAGCTAGCAACATACTTCTGCCTAATCATTGATTTGTAGTAGGGTAATTAAGACATTAGGGATGAACTTGTTTAACGTTCTATAGATTTATCCCTGATCCTGAATGTTCGAGGATCAGGCATATGCATGGATGGCAGACTTGTTTCCATAATGTTGTTCAGGGTTTGGTGATGAAATAAAGCACAAAGGCGTTAATTAAAAACTTTATTAAGTTCAGTAAGAACTTTTACCAGACTAGTTTATATATGAGAGTTGGTTTTGTACCATCATAAAATTATTCTCTGAACCAGAACTTAGTATTTATATATAATGTGCTCTTTGAATTTGTTGTCTAGAAATTGCTGTCAATGGGCTTCAAATTGTGGAGAGAACTTGGATGTAACAGTTATAGAATATACGGGCACGAACAAAGACAAAAGAAGATCATGAGCCAACTTTAATTTTTTTGAGTAATGCTATTAATTGTATTTATATCTTTCCATCTATCAGTGAAGTACGTAGAACTGTAGAAGGAGTGAAGCCCTAATTAAATTTTGACTGTCCTTAGTAAGCCAAGGTTTTCATAATTAATATATCTTATATAGCATGATTGCTAACTTGTTATTAATTTGGCCTTTCGACATGAATAACGCAATTTTTTTTTTTAAAAAAAAGCAACGTAAATACTCAGGGTAGGTAGCGTGAATCAATTAAGTTTGCGTGTTGATGTTGTCCTACAATATAAATTTTTGGCCCCAGTCATATAATTTTCTGAGTCTGCCACTGCCTTGTAGCCCTAATTTTTTATAAGTTCTCCTTTTCTTACAATTCTTGGAAGAGAAAAATTTCATTATTGAAAAACTATCGATTACAGAGTATCAACCAATATATATATATATATATATATATATATATATATACATCAGAAGAAAAAGGGAAAGATAACTAAATAACGACTGCAACTGAATAACTAATTCAGTTTTGGAGTCTCTGCTGACGTGGCTTTATCTCCATGATTAGCAGAATCATTGGGGTATATTAACATCCCCCCACAAGGAGGACTATGGATATCCACTAGTCCGAACTTGGAGACAGCAGAACAAAAGGCAGTAGCAAGCAGGGGCTTGCTAAAGACGTCAGCTAGTTGTGCAGAAGATGGCACAGGGAGAAGATGGATGAGACCAACATGCACATTTTCTCGAACCACATGGCAATCAAGTTCCACATGTTTAGTGCGTTCATGGAAGGTAGGATTGTGTGCCAAATATATTGCAGAAACATTATCACAGTAGACAGATATCGGTTGAGTAGGAGGAAGATGAAGGTCTTGAAGTAAGTAGGACATCCATTGGAGCTCACATGTTAAACTGGCCAAGGCACGGTATTCAGCTTCACAGGAGGATCTAGAAACAGTAGTTTGTTTCTTTGATTTCCGTGAAACCAAGGTAGAACCAAGGAAAATACAATGACTTGTGATGGATCTTCGGGTATCTGGGCAACAAGCCCAATCAGAATCAGAGTAACCCGAAAGTGTAAGGGAACTAGTTGAAGGGAAAAAGAGGCCAGCACTTGGAGAACGTTTGATGTACTGGAGGACCCTAGGAGCAGCAAGCAGATGAGTGTCAGTTGGAGCTGAAACAAACTGACTAAGTTGTTGCACAGAAAAGGCAATGTCAGGCCTCGTGGTTGTGAGATACAGTAGCCTACCAATGAGTCTACGATAAGATGAAGCATCAGGCAAAGGAGCTCCAGTAGAACGACTGAGTTTGGAAGCTGCATCAATGGGAGTGAAGGCTGGCTTGGCAGCAAGTAAACCAGTATCAGAAAGTAATTCAAGGGCGTATTTCCTTTGATTAAGGATGATACCCCTTTGAGAACGAGAAATCTCAAGTCCCAGGAAGAAACGTAAAGGCCCAAGGTTTTTGATTTTAAACTGCTTGTCTAAGAACTCTTTGACACGGTGAATCTTCTCCATATCATTACCAGTTAGAACAATGTCATCGACATATATTAGAAGAGCAGTAAAATGTGAAGCAGTTTTGAGAGTGAGCAAAGAGTGATCAGCTGAAGACTGATGATAACCAAGGGATATGAGAGCTGACGTGAGCTTTTGATGCCATTGCTTGCTAGCCTGTTTGAGGCCATATAAAGACTTGAGAAATTTGCATACTTTATTGGATTTGTCACCAGCAATACCAGGAGGAAGAGTCATATAAACCTCCTCATTTAGATCACCATGTAAGAAGGCGTTGTTAACGTCGAGTTATTCAAGAAACCACTGATTTGCAGAAGCAGTGGCTAGAATGGTGCGAACTGTAGTCAATTTAGCTACTGGAGAGAAAGTTGCCAAGTAATCAATGCCCTCTACTTGTGTATAGCCCTTTGCAACCAGTCTTGCTTTATGCCTTTCTATGGAACCATCTGCATTGAACTTGGTTTTGAAAACCCACTTGCATCCGATGGGTGACTTTCCTTCTGGGAGATCAACAATCTGCCATGTGTTGTTTAATGTCAAGGCTGTCAATTCTGTATGTATAGCCTCTTTCCAGCAATTATGCTTGACAGCTTGAGTATAAGTCTTCGGATCTACCTGCATTGAGACATTAAAACAAAAATTTTGGAATTTGGGTGAGCAGGATGTATAGGTAAGGACATTGTGTAAAGGATATTTTGGTTGAGTGGGTTTTTGATGAACCAAGTTGCAATGAAATTCATGAAGGTAGTTAGGTAGATTTCTGAGTCTAGAGGAACATCTTGGTAAAGGAGGGGGAGAAGTATGTAAGGGGTTGTCATTGGTCGTGGTAATATCTGTAGTAGGTTGAATTGGTATCTGTGTGTTAGGTAAGGTTATTGGTTGTGGTTGTGTGTTAGGTAAAGGATCTGTGGTAGTTGGATGGCTATCTGTCATATATGGGTCAGGATTGTGATGTAAGGACTGTGGCATGGGCTGAGATATGGGTTGGTCCACAGCATGGGTCCCATTATAAAAGGAATCATCAGGGGCAGGGTGTATATTAGAGAAAGGAAAAACTGTCTCATATAAAATAGTGTTTCGGGAAATGAAAAATTTCCTGGAGATAAGATCATAAAGAATGTAGCCTTTGGTTGTTTCATAATGACCAAGATACACACTTTTACGGGCTCTTGAAGATTCTCTGTGAAACCAAGGTGGAGGCAAATGCTAGACAGCCAAAGACTCGTAATTGATCAAGGCATGGTGGTTTCTGATACAGAACTGCATATGGAGATTCTTGCTGAAGAAGAGGAGTGGGAAGATTATTTATAAGCATGACCGAGTGTTGAACTGCATAGGTCCAGAAAGGTTGTGGCAAATGAGCTTGAAAAGCAAGACTGCGAGAGACATTCATGATGTGTTGATGCTTTCTTTCCACCAAACCATTTTGTTGTAGAGTCCCAACACAACTGGTTTGATGAATGATTCCATGTTGAGCATAAAATTCTGACATCAAGAATTCTTTTCCATTATCCGATCTTATGCATTTCACAGATGTGTTAAACTGTTTTTGGGCATAAGAAATGAAACTTTGTAAATGCTGACGTGCTTCACTTTTAAGAGTCATAAATTTGACCCAAGTAAATCGTGAGAAGTCATCAACCAATGTCAAAAAATATTTATAGCCTTGAACAGAAGAAACTGAGAAGGGGCCCCAAATGTCTACGTGTAAAATGTCAAAGACTTTATTTGTATGAGAAGTGCTTAAAGGAAATGGGAGTCTCCTTTGTTTAGCAAAGTGGCATACATCACATGGCTTAATATGTATAGCAGGAATAAAAGAAAACTGACTAGAAACATTTCTTAATACATTTTCTGATATATGTCCCAATCGAAGGTGCCAGAGTAAGGGACTATTTTTATTACATTGAAAAGAAGTCCTAGACTTATTCAGCTGGAAGTCTTCAGTAGAGGCAGCATTTATGATGAACAAACCATCGCTCCTCTCAGCTGTACCAATCATCTTCGATGTAATTCTCTGCTTGATTTAACAACAGGAAGCATTAAACATCAAATAGCAATCCAAGTCATCTAATAGCTTTGTCACAGAGATCAAATTAACCTTGAATTCTGGTACAAACAACACATTCCTTAGTGTGAGAGAAGGATTGATATTGACAATACCAGAATGAGAAGCAATCACAGTAGAACCATTTGGCAACACAATTGATATGGGCTTTATCTTGTGAATTGAAGAAAAGGTAGAATGTACATGTGTGATATGGTCCGTAGCTCCAGTGTCTAAAAACCACTGAATAAAATTGTTACCTGCAGGAAGTGCAGTCTTGTCCTCTGTCACGATTGCTTGTGCCATGTTAGTGGCATGTGCTGGTTGTGATTGCTCCATGTAATTCAAGAAATCTGCATACTTCTCTTTCGAAACTGACATGTGCGAATCAGAAACTTCCCTGCAGTCAAGAAATGAATCTTCTTGCTCCTGAACTGCATTATTTGCATTGTGTTCTTGATATTGATTTCTGGTACGGTAACCTTGAGGAAATCCATGCTTGAATAGCATGTCTCAATAGTATGATTTGTCTTTTTACAGTGTGTACAGTATTTGGATCCTGATCCTGATCCTTGTCATCTCCCAAAGTTAGAACGTCCACAGCCTCTGTATGGAACTCCACGTCCTCGATAGCCTTCAGAGGAACTAGCAAAGATTTTGCTCTCAAGCACATTGTTATGGTTTTCATTCTGAAACTGCCTTTCTTGTTGGACAACTAAAGAAAAGGCCTTGTTGATATTTGGAAAAGGACTCATCAACATAATTTGTGAACGAACATGGCTATATTGTTCATTGAGACCTCTCAAGAATCGTATCACTCGATCATTTTCTCTGATTCACGCATCTGAACCAACATACCACATATACATACTGGTAATGGCCTCAGGTTGTTCAGTTCATCCCAAACTGACTTCAGATTTGTGAAGTAATCAGTCACTGACCTGTTTCCTTGATTCAATTGATACGCATCTTCTTGCAGATCAGAGATGCGAAACATGTCAGATTGAGAGAATCGATCACAAAGATCATTCCAGATTTCATATGCTTTATCAATCCAAAGGATGGATTGCACAATCGAACCTTCTATGGATCTGTGAAGCCAAGCAGAAACCATCATATTACACTTTTCCCAAGCAGGATAGGTTGGATCATTTTGCGCAGGAGCCATAATATTGCCATTTACAAATGACATTTTGTTCTTGGAAGTCAGTGCAACAGTCATCGCACGAGACCATGCATGATAATTCTTTCCGTTCATCAATGGCGAAACAAGAATTAGAGACGGAGACTCACTCGGATGAAGAAAAAATGGATCTGAAAGCTGATTTTGGTTCTGTTCAGCCATAGTTTCAAGAAGGAAGAAAAAAAAAACTCAATGAGAATCTTGAATGGCGGAAGGTGAATGGACCAGAGCTCTCAATAGAGCTCTGATACCATCTTACAATTCTTGGAAGAGAAAATTTTCATTATTGAAAAACTATCGATTACAGAGTATCAACCAATATATATATATATATATACATCAGAAGAAAAAGGGAAAGATAACTAAATAACGACTGCAACTGAATAACTAATTCATTTTTGGAGTCTCTGCTGACGTGGCTTTATCTCCATGATTAGCAGAATCATTGGGGTATATTAACACCTTTTGAGTTCATTGTTTGTATATAGGAAATGTCTGAAGAGAGGGTTTCATAAAGAAAACCTTGTTCGCACAATTTGCTCGAGTACATAACCTATGTACTCGAGTACACAACCCAGATCATGAACAATACTCGAGTATGTTAAGCTCTACTCGAGTACATAACTCAGTTAACAGTAAAATAAGGGCAGATAGGTGAAATGTTTTAACACGAAAACAAAGCAGTAATATTTGTTTTAATTAGGGACAAAGGATTAAAAAGCCTATATATATATATATATATATATATATATATATATATATATATAACATTCTCTTAAAAAGTGACTCAATTTCTAAGGACACTTTCCCCTAAAAACGATCGCGTGTCTTTTTAACATATTTTCTTTCAAATTTTTAATTCAAATTATTTTGAATTTATTATGCATTTCTTTTTTATAATCTTAACTATTTTTTTCTCTTTTAATCTATATTTTTAATATTCTATCTAAATTAAGGGGAAGGTTATGGGTGCGCATGACAACCTTCCCAGAATCAATATTTTTTTTAATTTCCGTTCCCGGGAACAGAAATGGATAGAAAACTCGTTTGGTAAAACCGGTTTATTTTTTTGTTCCCAGGATGAACCGGATTAATTTTTGTGCTGGGAAATAGAAAAAAGAATCACAAAATTTTTGTTTTTTGGTTCCTGGGCACAAAATGAGAAACACTTATCTCACTTAATCACTTTCCATCTCTACCATCATCACCATCACCACCATCATCCCAACACGACCACCGCCACCATCATTGTTGTCGTCGTCGTACCACTAGTGTTGTCGTGACCACCCCCACCACCACGATGTGACCGCCACCTCCACCCATCACTACCACTATGCCACCATCACCACCACCACAACTACCACCGCTGCAACCACCAATATCATCGTCACCGTCACCACTACCATCACCACTATCGCCATCAACAACCACCACCATCATCGAAACCACTGCTGCCACCATCACCATCCCTATCACCACGCCACTGCCACCACCACAACACCACCGCTACCATCACCACCACTGTCACCAATCACAGCTATCATTGTTGCAGCCACCACCGACACCGCCGCCACCGCCGCCGCCACCATCGTCATAGCCACTACCGTCACCACCACCACCACCTCCGCCGCCGCCACCACCGCCGCCGCCGCCGCCACCACTGCCACCACCACCACCATCTCCATGATGCCATCACAACCACCACCACCATGCCACTGCTACCATTGTCGTCGCCACCAACCACTACCACCATCTCAAAGCCACTGTCGTCCCCACCATTACACCACCCCCGCCACTACCATCACCACCACTACCACCACCGCCACTGTCACCTACCTCTACCGCCATCGTCGCAGCCACTGCCACCACCACCACCATCTCCATGATGCCATCACCAACACCACCACCATGTCACCGCTATCATTGTCGTTGTCACCAATGCCACCAACCACCATCCCCACCACCATTGTCGCAGTCACTGCCGTCACCTTCACCACCACCATCCCC